TGCACACCCTCTGCACGTGCAATGATTTTTTCGGTCCTGTGCATATTAATATTAATATAAACTATTATCCATAAATGCACACACGTGATTGATGTTTCTATTGATATTGACCAATTATTATTACTACTTTGTAATCGAAATTTGAATAATCATTGTGTTTTTGTCATTGTTAATTATCTTGCGAGTATTCTTGTGGTACTAGTTTCTAGCACCCGTTGTTCATGGTGGTTGTTCATGATGATGGATTGACGCGTGCAGTGGAAGGTTGAATCGATTTAAGTGAAATGATCAATAAGCTTTACCTCTCCGATCCAATGCGAGTTAACGAGTTTTTGTATATTCCTGAAGAGAATTTTATGTATTATATTCCAGAGGATGACCAACTTGTTAGAGGAATCAAGAGACCTTTAAAGAAGACATTGATGAGGGGGTAATGCCGAAGAAATAGATGACAGTTACTGAGATTACTATTGTTAGTGCCAGTAGTGCATTAAAAAGCTTAGAAAATATACGCTTATTTTTGTTGCAGCAGGAGACGCAGGTGAACAAACTAAACAGTCTTGAAAGATTTGGTGGGGGAAAAAGTAGTCAAATGAAACAAACAACCATAAAGCAATGTTTTAATTAATTAAATAATGGATAGTGATAGATATATTATCATTATATATAATGTCATTTTGCATTACACAAATGACTATTTCTCTAAATGCACACAATGCTTGTCTGTACTTACAATTATCGTTCCGCAGAAAATTGTTATTATTATTTTAGTCTCCAGCCCCCCTGCTTTGATTAATGGATTGCTCGAGTCTCTTTATTATGCTGATAATCAATTGAACAGTTTCACTTGCTTACTGGAATAAAGTTGAACCCTTCATAAACCTTGGCATATTGCCACCCAGACATCCTGGCCTCCCTTCTCTTTTATAGGGCTGTCTTATGCCTTAGACTACAGTACATTACTAGTACCAGTCTTATACTTATAAACATTAACACACTTCTATGCAATTGTCTTGTAGTTACAGTAAACTAAACGGCATGTTTTCGATAACATTGTGCTTGAAATAGACTCAATTAACAGAAGAAAAATTGGTTAACAATATTTCTTACTGCTAATTGTGTTTACATACACAACTACTAAAAGTTTATTGTATCCTGCAAGTGCACTAAAATGAACATGATAACAATTTGTTAAAGGATGAGAAGTAAGTCTGCAATTCTTTTACTGACTGTCGCGAAAGCGATTATATATGTATTTTTCAATAAATAACGTAGGTTGCCTTTGTGGTTATTGAACAATTGTATGCATACTAATATTTGTTTTTTACAGCAACTTGTGTGTTTATTGTAATATTTTTTCGTACAGAGCTATTCCAATTACTGTGTTATTAATAAGTTTGTTTTTTATACTTTGTATGATATTGTGCATCAATTTTCAATTGCCCAACAGTGATGTAACCAAAGACAGCGTTACTTTGCGGTCGCAACATGGAGTAGTTTTAATTAAAGACTTTTGTTATATTATCTGTTCTACCCATTTTCCAGGTTATTTATTATTTACAGGTTACGATTGAACATGTAATTTTTACGATTTGTCTGTGGCGAACTTTCGTGAAAAAATCATTAGTTGGCAAGTACTCGGCGACTAGTAAGACAACGCAAACTCGCAGACAGTTTTGATGCGACTGTTAGCTAAAGCGGAAATCGACGATGGATCAATTTTGCTGTTTCTATGTGGTCGACGAGAATCGAGGAGAAGAGTATTCTTGGTAATTTTTACGTTTCTCTTATTTTCAATTTGTCTTGACACACCGATAAGTTTTCAGAGATCTCGGGTCTGGACACGGTAATCTTTCTGGGATGCCGACTTCATCCTCAACATTTGCAGGAACAGTCATTTTTACGTTCAAAGTCTTTTAAAGACATGTAATTTATCTAAAAATAGTCTTGGTGTGTAATAATAAGGACGTTTGAAATCCCTCGAAGACTTTTATACAATAAACGATTATTGAGTATAACGCATTACTATGCTGTTCAGCGTTTACATTATCAAAAGCTTTGTTTGTAAAGAGCCCACTTACATGTACATTTTGTAACCTTGTTCCCAGCATACAATCCATGTCGATCCGCACATTTTGTCGTGATGACCATTCTAAAATCTTGATTCTGACAGTTTAACTCTTATCAGATCAAGAGAAAAATGCACAAGTTTGTTCGACGCTATTGTGATGTGCTATTATGTTAGATATTCAACACATGCGTATTGTTCCACTCGCATCAAGATGCAGAGTTATCGGTATAAACGACTTGTCTATTTCCTTTGCGTTATCGAGTTCGCTGAGCTGTTCGTCTAACAAACAATCATGTGGCTTTCCAAGGCCATCTATTTTCCAAGATACACGCGATGGGGTTGTGTGTATGTAGCAAGGGGAAATTTGGTATTGGACAGTGGGATGATTATTGGCGTGGGAGTGGTCTGTATGCACCATATACTTTAAGGCCACATACAGTACGCCAATATGAGTTTTTTTCTCTTCAAATAACCGAGTTGCATCAACATATGAAATTGAATAATGCGCAGTGCCTATTTGCTATTATCTGTGTTCAAGTTGTACCTGAATCGCAATTAATTGATTCATGTGTATTTATGTATCTGTACGATTGTGAGTGTTAAATTCGGTCCGCCATGTGCAAATCGGAGTTTCTGTCCCGAAATTATATGCTGTGTCCCTGGGCTTAAAAAACACATGAACAACTTCTTTTTTTTCAATCTTTGTTTGCCAACGTTTATTACATAAGCACCAGTTAAATAGTTAAATGTATCCCATTCTCAAGTTTAATTTTTTTTTCAATGTCATGTCGAATGTATCTATTATTATACAATGAACTTCTTTTTATAGATCGTATACACATATTTAATTAATTTCCAAAAGTATTCTGACAGGCGCAGTCATCACAGGGTCACTCCTGATTGTCTAATCTATCAAAAGCTACCGCATTTCACGCTATACAGTCAAGCCTCGATATAGTCAAGTCGACGGACGGGGATTTTTCTTTACTATATCGAAACTCACCATATCGAGAATCTCGATATAGTCATATACATACTTTTAATCAACACGTGTTGTATTATAGTTGGTCAAAAACCATCAAGTGGACTATATCGAGATGCAATCTACTAATACAATAATACTAATATTGTTGACTATATCTAACGAGACTTACTATATAACGTCATTATATCGAGGGAAAATTTAATAATACTGTTTTTGTATCAGAGGAATTCTTTACTATATAGCGAAATTCACTATAACTATATCGAGGTTTGACTGTATAATAGACTACATGACGTATCCTTATTGCATACAAGGTTGTTAATATTAAATATTAGCGCTGTACATAATATAAATACATGATACTGTATAGTCGTAGTCATAATTGTTATACAATATTAGTTAGTTTATTCATTCATTGTACTGATTTGTTCTAGCCTCTTACATGTATTATTATGTTCCGCTGGCTGACTCGGTACTGATTTGTAAAGATTGTGCCATTGCATGTGCGTGCAGGAGAATGTATTTCTTCGACCGATCACGGACGGCTCGGTAACGTTTCTAAATTTTGGAATATTCGGTATTTCTGGCATCACGTGCTAGGAAACGGTAAAAGCTTAAAATTAATGCCAAAAACGAACATTAGATGACCAAGTTTATGGCACAAGAAATATATTGAAGGTATGGATAAAATTTGACACGCATGAAAAAAGACATGCACAAAAGACTAACTATTAAATAATACGGATGTAAATAAATGATGTCTTAAACAGCCTGTGAGAAAATCAACGAACAATTTCGAGAAAATATTATGTCAACATTAATTACATGGTTGACGTTGCGCTTATTAAAAAGGATTAGTCAATTTTGACAATATTGTGATTTTTGTGCATAACAAATAAATGACCTGTCTTACATATTATATTAAAAAAATTCGACCATAGACAAGATTACTGTATAAAAGCTTTGGCTATGTTTTAGAGAAGCAAAGACACTAACGTCTAACGTCCAACAAAAGTGTTGTGAATACATGATTAACCGCTTTTATTAATATGTAACGTATGGATATGTACATTAACAAGAGGCTGTACCTTGTTTGTTGGCTAATGGGTTGTGCGCGTTCACTTGCCTTTCTAAAGCCTTCAATGGTTTCAATCAGAGCCATGAGAACGCCTACTAGATAATAACTCCGACCTTTGTCTATGTTGGAAAGGATTCATAAAAGTATTATTCAATCACAGAAAGTTCTTAAAAGATGTAAACCTTAAAATAAAATCTTGAACTGAAATTATACGGTTTGTTTACGTTTCCATTTGTGTTCAATCAAACTGTCAGACATTATATTGTTTAATTTAATCACACAAAAAGTATTGCTTCAAATTTACATTCTTCAATATTTGTGGATACTAACTACAACAGCTGTATGTAGATGTGGCAGGGATACGGTCGACCCTCTCTATAGTCACGCAGTCGGAACAATGCAACTATTGTTGAAAATGTGCTTATAAAGAGGTTGTGATTAAATAGAGATTTTTTTCTACAAGTTCAATAGCAATTGGATACCATACAATTAACTGTGTTGGCCAAAATCACGACCAATTTTAGAATCAGACTTTTGCATTAATCACTTGTCTCAATATACATGATAACATTATTATATCAATTATATTATTAAATGTATAATATTCTAATAGACCATCAGCAGGTCAAGTCGTCTCACTATCAATCCGAATTCCAACTATTTGCGAATGAAGCATCTCTAAAGGGATTCTTGCAATTATCTAGAAAAATCTCTAATGAGGAAATGAACATTCGTATGTGATGAGAACTCGGCAGATAAAAGATTAAATGATGGAAAATCAAGCGATGAAAAATAAAGATATTGGTTAATAAATAAAAAAGGTCCTAGAAAGTCTGGGAAGGACTGTCGATTCTTGGTTTGAGTTTTCAGATCTTTGAGTTATTGCAAATCCGGTTTGTTTTATCACTTTCTGACTCCAAGTCGTTCACAACGCTCGTTTTTGTTCTTCCCGGCGCTGGTTCGCCCACATTTGCACTCTTGCCAATATGAAACTCGAATTTCTTATCGACTGCCTCCCATTTCTGCGTGAGCTCGTTGTAAAGCGTTCGCTCAACAAACACCACTCGATCGTTATGATCCACTAGAATGACTGTACTCGTACGTGTCGCATAGAGTTCACCTATGTTGATTACCGGAACGCGAATGGTTGATTTGATTTCTTCAATCTTGTCTATTGATGTCGGTTGAGAGACAGAGATTGGGACCGTTGTACTGCAAAGAAAAAGAAATACGTTGATACTAGCGAGCGCAATTATAATTGTAGATATCGGCATGCGAAAATAACATCATACCTCAACGAGCTAAACAATTTCTCGATCAAATCTTCTTCCGAGGTAAACTCGCTTAATAACCGTTCCATACTCTTCCTACCATTCTCGACTTTGGGCCATGGGTTGCCAAGTACCGAATTGGACAAGCCATAGATCTCTTTCTTGTCCAGAACGGTGACATCCTGTTTCTCTCTGTTCGCATAATAAAAGGCCTTTGGCTCAGTCGTTCCTAGATCAGCAGCAATTAAATTAAAGCCTCCATACCAATCGTTATGTTTTTTCAAAAACTCCATATATTGTTCCAGATCAATGTCCGATTCGAGGATATTTCGAACCATTAGTCCGCGGGATAAAACGGTATCTGGATCTGGAGGAAATGGCTCACGGTAGTTTGTGAGTGCAGCAAAGCGCCCTGATAAGGATATCCCTAGCCATGTTCCGTGTTCTGTGCGAAACAAATCCACGCCAGAAAGGATCGTGGGATGCCACCATTCTGCAAGGGAAGTTGGGCGATTGAGGTATTCGTCACGATTGGCCGCAAAGATGCTATTTGCATTATGAAGTGACAGAATAGGCAAGCGCATTAAATCCAAGTAGCCGAAAAAGGTCATTATTAATGTGCTGGCATACTCACAATTTGTATTGTGGATGATAACCTTGGGTCCAGAATAGGATGCACATGGTTTTTTTATGTATGCAGATGTAAAGACGTAAAAACTGTAATATCAAAAACTGTGTTAGCTCAACATCTGAATATGGCCGTATGAGTATTAATACTTTTTACCCTAAACGCCTTCTTTCGGGCGTAGCTTGTTCAGTGTTTGCCCCTGGTGTCAGATGATTTTGCATATGTTATAGTCACGCCACTATTTGTTACCAAAATAGATGCACGTCAAATATCGAGGGCAGGGGTTATTATCAGATATGACGCTAACGCTAAACCTCCATGTGGGAAGTATCTCATATTGTAAGGTCCGATGATGGGGTGATGGGGGTGATGTAATTAGGTTGCCGATCCTCGTACAACAAATAGTGTGATATGCTTTCACATGAAAATGAGGAAAATTTCTCAAATAATTTGGGGACAATCTCCATTGGGAAGAATGACTTGTGACAATAATAGCAAGGGAAAGTAAATAAAGAGTATATGCACAAGTACAACTTAAACTGGCAGATAAATTAAATATTATTAGCCTAATATATCTGCTGGATTGTTCGTCACTCCTAAATTCCATATTGTTACTGGTGCTTTAGCGCCAATGCGGTAACAATTGCTAAACTCCACTGCACTTAAATCGCCCCAAAGAAAACTAGCCGCCCCAAAAGATAATGAAATACCGTAATCACTGCTCATTTTATAAAAATCGCATAAATACCCTCTTTTCATCGACACTCACACATCCATCATACACTTTGGGATTTCTCTGGAAAAAACCCCATCACTAATCATACATATTATCGACCATCGTGTCAGCTAAGTCAGTCATGAGTCAAACGGCAACAATAACTCGGACTACAGAAAAACGACGACGTCATATCCGTGATGAGCCAATAACATGGACGAATTGGTATAAGCATGTTAATTGGCTACAGGCCTTTATATTAGGAACCACACCAATTATTGCTATTTACGGCATAGCAACAACAAATCTCGTGCTCAAGACTGCTATCTGGAGTGGGATCTATTACTTTGCCACTGGAACTGGTATTACAGCAGGTGAGAAAAAAAAAATAGCCTTGTCGTTGTCATGTTAAACATCCTCAGATCATCATCGGATCACCCCCGTGCTAACTCGTTATCCAACAAATAGGTTATCATAGATTATGGGCCCATCGTGCATATACGGCTTCACGTCCCCTTCAGTACGCCCTTCTTTTCGTGGCTTCAGGAGCAGTTCAAGGCTCTCTTCGGTGGTGGTGTAGAGATCACCGTGCACATCATCGCTATACTGACACTGATCGTGATCCCTACAGTGCTCACAAGGGTTTACTCTACTCTCATATTGGATGGATGATCCTCAAGCAGAATCCAAACGTGTTAGGCAAAACAGATATTTCAGACTTGAACGCTGATTGGTTGATAAGAGCTCAACACAAGCATTATGGACTATTTGCATTGTTCTGTGGAGTTATTTTCCCGACTCTTATTCCCGGTCTTGGATGGGGTGATTGGAGGGTAAGTACGATATTATTAACACGCCGAAATATGTAAAGCATGATGATGGTGTTGGATCGGATTACTGTTTTTTGTTCGATCCAATTTTAAAATCCTATGAAACCAATTCTAGGTTAAACCATCCATCCGCTGATTTTTGCTCGTACGATCTCTCAGGCAGTTCCTAACTAACCGTATATATATTTCCTCTTAACTTTGAATTATCTAGGGCGGATTCTACTACTCTGCAATACTTCGTCTCGTCTTGGTCCATCACGCCACATTCTGTGTCAACTCCCTTGCCCACTATCTTGGTGACAAGCCTTTCGATGATAAACGCACTCCCCGAGACCATTTCATCACTGCTGTCGTCACCATGGGCGAAGGTTACCACAACTTCCATCACGAATTTCCTCAGGATTATCGCAACGCCATCAAGTTCTACCAATACGATCCTACAAAATGGTTGATCAAGACCTGTTCAATATTTGGACTGGCTTCCAATCTGAAAAAGTTCCCCGAGAATGAGATTAAAAAGGGACAGGTTTACATGCAACAGAAATATTTGGATGCTGTTAAAAAGACTTTGGACTGGGGTACGCCTATTGATTCTTTGCCGGTTATCTCTTTTGAAGACTGTAAGTTATATAAATTCTGCGTTGTAATTCGCTTGTCATTATTCATTGTTTATTGTTCATTGTTCATTGTTTATTGTTTACTCACTCTCTTTAACCTTTTGTTCCACATAGATCAAGAAAAGGCGAAAACCAATGCTTTGGTTCTAATCGAAGGCATAGTCTACGATATCACTACATTCATGGACGAACACCCTGGCGGTCGTGGCGTTGTGAGAGCTGGTATAGGTAAAGACATGACAACTGCATTTAATGGCGGTGTCTATGATCACTCGAATGCGGCAAGAAACTTAATGTCCAGATTTCGTGTCGCCGTTATAGCCGGTGGCGGCGAAGTTGAGCATCGTAAGACGAAGTAGAATAATGTGATGGTGATGATTATGATGGAGGATAATTGTGGTAATGGCCAGTAGAGAGAAAAGAGAAAAGATAAAAAAATTATGATTTATTAATTTTATGTGCATATAATATTCATCTCATTCTTTTCCGTACATATGAATAAACGAGTTGCTTTTTATCTGGAAAACTGAATCGATCGTCATTAAGATCTAGTTGAACGTTTACTGGTTGTTTTTTGTTTTTTTTTTTTTTATATATGATACAAGAGAAGTACCAGTTGAGAAAATATAAACAATATACAGATCGCCGATATATACGACTTGAGTAGCGAGGATGATCTGGAAACGTCTTTTTATGTTCCTGTCATTGGGTTATATAATCAAGGGAAAAGAAACTCAAAATTATTAAGTGATAATAATGATAGTATAATAAGTACGTACGATATTATCAATTCTCTATAAGTGTGTATTCTTATTCTACACAACATCATTTGCTAATCTCGGCTCGAGCAGGCTACATATTTGCTCAGATACGTGCTCATTCGTTGAGCGCACTGTTAACCGATATGCCTATTGATAGACGTAAATGTGAGTACATATCATAGAGAAAAACATGAAATGTATCCATACGATCTTTCTAAAATCCTGTTCATCTTTTCTATCATACCTGCGCATCCAAATTCGGCTCCAGTCGCATCAAACATCCTGTCATTCCTGCTGACTTTGTATGCAATACTGCCGACCCAACAAAATTATTAGGATTTGGATCTACGCTCTCTAACAATCCAAATCTGAATCCAGTCAACATTGTGCCCACATCCGCCAACTTTATAGGCACCAACGATTGAAATATTCTTTGAATCTCTCTCGGAGAATCTCCAATCTGCTTCCACCTGGCAAAGAACTCTGGTCCACCAAGTTCGATGGGTTCCATAAACTTGGTCAGTGCTATCGGAAGACGTAGAGCAAGGTTATGGAGTGAGCCAGAGATGAAGGAAATACGCACGATTGGCATTGTCGTGATCGGCTTGTTGCATTCGATATGGAATAATTGTTGGATTTGAGCTTGAACCGCAATTGTTGTTGCAGCAGGCTGTGGTGTTGTTATTGATAAATGTGGAACTTGTTCTATGATAGTAGTGAATGATGTGATATTTGTATTCGTCTTGTTGTTAAAGTACAATGCGAGCCGGCCAACATGTCCATGGTACTCTGATTTAAGTACTACATTAATCTGATTATCTTCATATAATACTCCTTCCGACGTATAGAGTAACTTTCCTAACCATCGCTCTGAGCCCGGAGTTACTGTTCCCGCAGGTATATGGGCCGAAGATGTTTGTGAGGCAGCAGCCGAAGAATCTATAGTTAGGCTCTCCAATGTTAACAAGTCTGTAGAAGCGTCGTTGTTCGGGGTCGATCTGCTATCTGTCGAGTTGCTTCGATTAGCTGACAATTGTAATCGAACAGCTTCCCGTTCCTTGTTAGCTTCTTTTCCTCCAATGTGCCAGGTGCGTTTGTCCTCAGTAGCTGCGTGTTGCTGTTGTAACCGGAGTAGTAGAGCAGATTCTCTTTCGGGGAATGGAGGCATCTCTTCACATACCGTTTGTAGTATGTCGTCACTTGGCATGGTGGAAATAGCTAAATACTCGGTAGATCTCTGCTGTAACTCTGAATCTAGTACGTGTCTATAGTTATGGAATACAGATACAATCTCCCCTTTAATCTCTGGGAATAGATTGACAAACTTTAAAAACGTTGTCATCAACATGGCTTTCGTTTGTGCTGAACATAGTCCAAACTTTGAGTAAATTGCATGAAACTGCTCAATCGGACTTCCACCTGGTATGTTAGCTACCAGATGACCAAATTCGCCTAGAATATATCCTCCAATTTTGACCAAGTTTTCATGACATGTGGGTGATCGAAGATGTTTTAATACTGTTCGTGCCGCGTATTCTTGCAATTCCTCATTGTTAGTGACGATCTGCACCACCCGGTACCAGACCTCATCACCCACGTGATCGCCGGCAGTGCTAATCAGTTGGAGAATGATGTCAACATACCATTGATATTCAGTCGCAAATCTCTCAGTAAGAATAGCAATTTTAAGCACCATTTCTTCCCTCAATCCATAATCAGCAATGCTTAAATATCGCAACAATTCAGTGACTATGACCTTGGCATTACTAACATCACACATACTAAACAACAAGTCCAATCCTCGACGGCGTACACTAATATCTTTATCCCTGAGTGAGAGTAGGATTGTATCTTGATGCTTCTTGATCGGTTCGAGCGAATCAACACACGCTGCCAGATGAGCCATAGTTTCCAAGCCAAGGTAGCGTACGTTTGTTTCCTTTGATGTGATGAATCGACCGAGAAGCACGGCAGCTTGATTGACTATCGCTGATTCCGTGTCCAAGTGGATGGCTAGATTGATCGCCTCGAAAAGGACCGCATTCTGAGCGTTGTTGTGTTGGACATTCTTTGGAGTGTCTTGAGAGTTTTGCATGATCGTTTGCAAGACAGTATGGAGATCGTGTCTGACAGCGGCATCATCTATCAAGTGATCACGTAAAGTGTACAGCGAAATTATTGTTTGTACGGAAAGCTACTCATATCGTGCCAGTCTCACTACATACCTAATGGTGGGTAATATTGTAATATACGTAGAAACTTCACTTGTAGCCAAGGTATTGGCACTTTGTAGTACACGTAATCTGTGGCATACTCCTTCTTTACCACAATCTAATCAAAAAAGCAAGCATTCTAGTTCAGCTGATCAGTGAGTTCAAGATTGACATTTGCAATGAACGAGGCAACATACCTTTGACAACTTTTCTACAACTTTAGCGTAACATCCCAAATAAGCTTCCAAATTATCCTGTGCCAATGCCATTATTAAGCTAGTAACACACAAGACAACGCCCTAGTTAAAGAACATATGCATTAAACTATTGATCGAATTAAAAGTACCATAAACACAAAATTTTACACATAGCCTCGAATATATATTAATTACCAAGTCTGGCTCGTCCAGCAAAGCAATCAAACGCTCTGACCAATCGACTGCTGGAATTACATCAGGATGCTTTCTATACAGGCGTAGCAGTGTCAGAGCCGCCTTCTTCTTCACAAAACTCTTTGATGCACTAAAAAGATGGATAGGCAGTCCAGTTACTTTCGTATAATATCGTCCCCACACCCTCTGTTAACACTATCACCATGCTACTTACGGAGATATTAACAGTCGATGCACATCTCCATTCAAAGACTCGGCCATTTCCCTTCCTCCAATATTAGCTATTGCATGTAATGCCAAGCAATTAAATATTTCATTGTATTCGTCGAGATCTTTTCTTATCGAATTGACTACTAAGCGGGTCAAGTCACTATTCTCGTGCATTAACAGCGTCACTGCAAGATATCCCTATGATACACCCAAGAACACTTGAGAATCAAGTGCGAATATACGCGAAAGATCACACACAACACTGAAATATGACCTACTATTTGCTTCTCGCTGTATTTATTACTAGATATTAAATTCACAGCCTCCATGTGACCGAAATCAATGTCCCAACCGAGAATATACATGTATAGCAATTTACAAACGTATTTCTTTTTCTGATACCCATTTATATTGCCCTCTAAATGTGGCAAAAAAGCACAAGATATGTTAAATTGGATGCTGGACGTAACATGGCGGTAGCAAAATAGCAAATAAACCTTTAAACTTGGCTCGTATATTCGCCATCTCTTTGTTGATTCGTTTTTCCTCCGACTCACGCACCCGACCTAAGGTTTACGAAAAAAGGGATTTATTCATTAAGAGCATATTAAGTTTTTGATAATAAACTCTTTCAGCTTCTTACAGTTTCTTATGTCCGCAATGAACATAGTCAACCCGCGCATATTATTTGACATGATGGCAATTTTTATATATACTGAGAATAAGCAGAAAAGTCTTTAGAATATCTGTCGTTGGTTTTTTAAATTGGTGTGGGACAATGCCTTCCTTATCTGGGCATATGCAGTTTGACATTCTTGGATCGACGGGGTTTAAAAGAATGTTTTCTCGAACCAAATTACAAGTCCTGGTAATTTCGTCTTCTATCAAAAGTAAAATCATGTTTTCATATGTAAAGGCACAAAGCTCTCCTTTTTTTCTTTTATATCCTAACGAAGCGCTCTAGCATGGTGTACAAGTAGCGGATGATATATGGTACAAGGTTTCAAGATCATATGACTTGAATAGTAATATTAACTGCCTTGGGGGATAATAATTCAGGAAATCAGATTTAAATTCAAGTAGATACGGACTCTTTTTGGACAACTTCACTCACGTAAACGTTGTATGTAATGATTTAAATAAACCATAGACCAATCAGTTTACAAAACACGGATTTCTTCGACAACAAAGACTACTTTTGAAATTTGCTTTAAAATAGTATTTTATTTTCGTTTAATTTAAAAGTATTAAGTCCATGTACGTGACAATAACAGCAGACAATAAAATAGTTCTCAAAGTACAACTAATACACCTTCGCCCAAGTTGCATCAAGAAATTGCATCTAGATTATTTACAACCTGTTGACGTTGCCCAGGTCACGGCAAGCCTCTTTCACACGATCCACCATTGATTTCTCAGCCTCACGAACCCACACACGAGGATCGTAGTACTTCTTATTAGGAATACCATCACCCTCGGGATTTCCAACTTGAGTTTGGAGATAACCCTTCTTGCCCTCGTAAAAGTTTCGTATTCCCTCCCAATAAGCCCATTGCGTGTCAGTGTCAACATTCATCTTGATAACTCCATACGAGACAGCTTCCTCGATCTCCTTCTTTACACTACCACTACCACCGTGGAACACAAACCAAATAGGCTTCTCATTTTGAGTCCCCAACTTTTCACGGACGTAATCTTGATGCTTCTTAAGCAAATGCGGAGACAATTTAACGTTGCCCGGTTTATACACACCATGTACATTACCAAAAGCCGCGGCAATGGTGAACAAGTCGCTGACTTGACTCAATTCACGATACACATCCCAGACGTCTTCCGGTTGGGTGTAGAGTCGCGCATTGTCAACGCCAGTGTTATCGACGCCATCCTCTTCACCGCCAGTGATACCGATCTCCATTTCCAAAAGTAAATTAACATTTGCCATGCGCGCCAAATACTTTTTGCAGATGGCAATGTTTTCGTCCTTTGGTTCTTCGGACAGATCAAGCATGTGGGAGCTGTAAAGTGGTTCGCCGTGTACTTTGAAATATTCTTCATCTGCTTTGAGCATGCCATCGAACCAGGGCAAAAGTTTCTTTGCGCAATGATCAGAGTGCAGCACAACGGGACTATTAAACGCATAAATTTAAATGAATCAAAAATTGATACATTCAATTGGGTTGCCAATAACGATAATCGAAATTGATGCTTCATTTGATTCCTTATAATTGAACATCCATTCGACGATTTTAAGCATACTTACATCCCATAATCTTTTGCCACAGCACGTACATGGTGAGCCGCTGAAACAGCGCCAAGAATAGACGCACGTTGGCCCTCGTTACTAAGCCCTTTACCAGCATAAAAAGCAGAGCCACCCTGAGAGAGCTGAAGGATAAGAGGAGCTTTGACATCACGTGCAGCTTCTAGAGCTGCGTTGATAGTAGATGAACTTGTGCAGTTAACTGCTGGGATAGCAAAACCATGTTCCCGGGCATAGTTGAATAATTTACGCACGTTGTCACCGGTGAGAACACCTGCTGGGACGATATCGAGAAGACCCATTATTGGAGTTGTTGTGACGTTAAGTTTTGTGGGATGTGTTCAAGGGGAAACGGGTTCTGGTGGAGAAATATAGAAAAAGTTTTTCCATGATTAAGATTTATGGGGAAAAGTTACATCATGCATGACGATAATCATGTAACCAAATTTATCATGGTGGGGAAATGCTTTTGGTCGCAAAATCCGATGATTTTGTAATATTAAACTTTGCTTGATTCTTTAAAGCATAACTAAGACGGATTCGACACTTGTTTCGTTACAGAACTTATCAATGATTCACCTGCTCATAATAATCCTTCTGAATGTGAGGAACGTTTGTCCAGTAAGGCTCTAGCTGCGCTTACTGAAGGACTAACTATGTACCATTAGACGTGGCGTATAGTGTCACATCTAATACGTTATGTCTAATCATACGATCCTTTGTGGTTAACACTCAATCATAATATGCATATACAGTGATATCCCCACCAATAATATCGGTTATTGTAAAGTATACACTGGGGAGAATGACAGGCGATAGCTTCTTTCTGCGAACAGTGCATAGTAAGATATAAATGTTATTATTATGTGGGGCATGCTGCAACAAAACCAGACAAAGTGAACATTTGACCATGTGTTATCATTATAATAATAACAATAATGTATTTCATATAGGATTATCTCTATGTAAAAATATAAATATGAAACTAATTTACATTAAATCCACCATGGAACCCAAGAATTACAGTACCATTATAAGTATTCTACAAAAAGAACAGGGTGAAAAAATTGCTCCATATGTTTTTAAAATCAATCACTCCAGAAATATCTAGATAAAGAAAAAATCACTTATAAATTTTACCAAGAATCATAACTAATAAACAAACATTAACACCAATACATAAACCAAGAAAGAAACGAAAGCTAGAAACATAAAGCAAATATCCGTTTCTTTATTATTGTTAACTATCGATAATTTCCGTGATTCTTGATATACTGTTCGATAAAAACAGCAATAAATCGATAATTTTGGTTCGCTGTGCCCAAGTATTACAAATCCGACACAATTCATGAAATCGTTCTAGTGAATATACAAATGTACTGTACGTCGTTAGTAAAGAGTAATAAAGAAGACATTGACAAAATAAGTGTATCAATTATTATTATCGTAATGTGCCTGCTCACTTGTTTTCGCAATTCATATTGAAGTCTTAAAATAGAAAACAAATTGCAGAATTGTTCCAATACACACATAGAAACAAATAAATAAAAGAAAATAATGACATGACAAGCGCATTTATTGTTGAAATCAGCACTGGTTACATGCCCGAAGCTTTCGTGATCCCAAACTATTGGCTTTGATGATTTATAACAAATTAGGCATTCGCCAACGTCAGACGTTATCTCTTTGAGTTATTGCGATTGGTCAGAATATCAACATCGATACTTTTTATCGGTGTTATTATAGTAAAATTTAAATTCCTCAATTTTGTTTTTTAACTATAGGAGTATTCCTGTATAAAATTACTTATATGAAACTAATCTATATCAGATCCACTATGGAACCTAAAAACTACAGTGCAATCAGAAGTATTCTAAAGAAAGAACAAGGTGAAAAAATTGCTCCTTACATTTTTAAAATAAATAATACTCAAACACTGGAAGCTTATCTCAGGAAAGAAAAAATTACTTATGAAATTTACAAGAAGAGAGAGTTTTCAAGAGTACTAAAATTCTAATAAAGGATCAAGAAAGAAAAACAGAAGCATAGCAATATCGTGCCGACTGCTAGGGGAAGCATATCTACCAATGGCTTTAGTAATAGTCGATATGATCGTCGTGATAATTGATGGCACGTGATCGTGAAAATCGCGTTTTAAGCAAAAAATTTTTTTATGTCCATCTAATACTAACCATTAACACATTCGCGATAATGGAAGGTAAGTTTTTTTGACGTGTTATGGAATAGTTTTTATTTTAATGAAGGAAGTCTTCTTTTCGTTAGGAATCCCTGTGGATGATTCTGCTTACTTCACCTTTGACCACGAATGGTCTCTGCTGAGTTTTTTACTATACCGTCAACAGTACAGCGATTTCCGATTTGATAAACACCGAGAACACGACCGATATGCCCGCAGTCTTAGAGCAATACTTACCTGGGGACAGGCACCTGAAGCTGCTACTCTGAGGACTAAAAGGCGCTTGCTATATTAGAGGTTCATTCTTATTTTTGTTGTAGCGGACGGGTCCAAGGACATTTTTTTTCTTTGGATGGGGCTGCGGTCTGTGTTCAACTACTGACTGCGGTCTGTGGTTCCGTCCTACAACCAAAAGAAGAGTTTTATTAGAAGTATTTTTATACAAAAACCACCAACACTCCTGGCTGCGGTCGGGTGTGCATAAGTTGCGGCTCCGTGGTTTGATTTAGCTATTTACTGACTTGAATATTTTCTTTTTAGGAAGAAAAGAAATCACAGTCAATCGCCAAGTTTTGGGAGAATGTCGCGTCTGTGGTATGACCATTAAGTGTGTCTCGATATATAGCATTATGAAAAATTAAATGACTTTGTTTTCTTTCTGTGGTCTTAGGAAGAGCATACTACCAATGTTACGCAGTCGGTTTTCCAACAAGATCACATGGAATATTTTGGCGCGGAAACGTTCATCGATGAGGATCCCCATAATTCGAAGCCGATTTCTTACAAGTACAATCTGTTTAGGGAAATGAAAGATCAGTTGGATCGTCTATTGAAGAGATTGAAATTCACGGAAGAGACGATAAAAAGGGTGAGGCGCATTGTTCTTCATGGAATATCTCATGGAGGTAATTATGGAAATATAGAGAAAGAGTTTCTTGTATCAACCTTTTTTTTCTGAAAGTCAGTTTACAATCAAAAGGCTTGAACGGCTATGTATTACGATGTGAATCTCAAATATTATTTTGTGTTTGAGTTGTGCCAATATCGAATTGGAACAACATTGAGAAGTGTCCCAGAAAGCCTTGCTGTTCTAAAGGATGAGTTGCGATTAAAGGTATGCTCCTATATATTGTCAATTTGCTAATTGAATTTCTATTCATTTCCCGTGACGATTATTATTATAGCATGATTTAATCAGTGTCCTCAGTGTTGTCAAAGAAGTAAAAAAAGTTGCATTACGAACAAGACCAGAAGGATTATTTACTCTTGAGGATCTTCCAGAAATAACAACTAGCCCCCAAAAAATCTCGAAACAAAGTAGTTTGACAAGATACTTGTTTATTACCAATATGCACAGTGTGTAAAAAGTTTTTGGAATTTTTTATTTACTTATTGCTCAAAAACTATTACATAAAACTTAACAAAAAAAATTAAATAAAGCCCATAATCTAAAGTTTTATTGACATAAAATTAATAATTTATTCTTTCACCATTGTTTTCTATTATCATCTCACATCTCCTTTTCATTGACATACAGGTAATTAGAACATTATTCGGAATTCTATCCCATTCTTCTGCTCTAGTTCTGAAAGATTTTTAGGCATACGCATTTCTACTTTTTTTTTTAACAATGCCCAAAGATTTTCAATAGGTTTAAGTCTGGACTATTGGAAGGCCAGTCCAGAACTTTCGCTAAGAAATGCCTGAGCAACATGACTTGCATGCTTTGGCTCATTATCTTGCTGGAAACGCCAATTGCTCCTAAAAAGTTATTGATTTCTTGCGTATGACTTTGCAAAATATTAACGTAAAAATTCGCATTCTAAAGCAAAATAGAAAGTTTTTCCGTGTATACAAAATCCCCCCATGCAAAGATTTTAGCCCGATCTTTAGGAATCCGCTGGATTGGTCGTTTGCCCTTATACCATTGGGTTATTGTGTTTCTGAATAACTGAAAAGCAGTTTTGTCAGAAAATAATGTGGTCTCCCAATTGTCATTGAGGTGTCTGGTTGCCCAACTAACACGAGCTTTTTATGAGCAACCGTAAGCATAGGGCAGACTGTTTTGGTAATCCAATCTTGCCAAATGTCTTGACATTGACATATGAGACACCTTACCACTGTCTATAGTCACACCCTTTTGGCAGCCCATTTGAGGTGATTATAGACTGGGACAATGACATTACATACCATAATCCGTTTTTCCTTGATGTCTTCTGTTATGTCATGATTGATTTTTTATCATTTTTGTCATTTTTTTTTCAACGACTACAAATAATCAATGGCATCCGCTATATTTTATAGACTATTCATTACCAAGTTAATTTTTGTTGGAAGCAGGTAGACAATCATACGTAAATTATTAATTATTTGTAAAGATATGCTCGATTCCTCATAAGCTCTTGCCAAATAAAGTGAAAAGATTTCTTTATTGTTGGATAAATTATACATGTCATATAATATTGCAGTAGAAACAATAATATAAATAGCACAATTACTGAAAATGTCTGTTAATTACTGTTTATGGTACCTCCCCTATAGTGATTGCTAATTTTAGCAACTTTGATTGCCAAATCTGATAAGGGAGGTAGCTGATAAGAGCACCCATCTTGTAATGCTAAATATATTTTTACTAAAGTTGTCGAGACACCGTCTTAGGTCTACTAATGAGTAATGTGAATTTGCGTTTGAATAAAACTTTTCTTTTACAAGTTACCCACACTCTGGTATTAGGGAGTTTAGACACTGAATAGTAATTAACTATTTCTACTTCACTTGAAACTACATTGTCACACATATTTCATCATATTATTATGCTAGTTTTATTTTTTAGCCGCTCTCGGGTTTAGGCCAATGCAATCGGTTAATAATACCTCAAATTGGGTTACCAGACGATTGGGGAACTAAGCATACTTAACGCAAAGCGTATACAGTCAACTCTCTCTAAATGCTCTCTCCCTATTCTGTACGTGCAACCGATTTCGCAATCCCAGGGGTTATTCTGATATAAAGACAAATCTATAAATGCACGCACGGGACCCGTCTGCATTACTAGTATAGCGGTAGAATACTTGCCTTCCAAGCGAGTGGCCTTAGTTGCCAAACGTGGCCAAACCCGCATGTGCTGATCATTTATAAGATATTTAGCGAATCAATCCTGATACTTGAATCAGGCCATTAGCACCTTCTAACATCAGGTCATATTTTAAATTAACTTTTGTATATTAGTGTTAGTTATAATATATTTACTGAACACAAATATGACATGATATCAATCAACGAATAATTTAAGCATTGTATCATAATTATTTTGCTCGGTTAAGGAGGATATGACAATCAAATCATTAATGAACTTGTAGAAACAGTAGCTTGGAAGATATAGACAATAGCACTGAAACAACTGTTATCAGTGCTAGTGATGCATTAAAAAGCTTGGATATCGTACAAACATTTTGATTCAACAAGAAAATACAAAAGAACAAGTGAAAATGGCAAATATTCTTGAAAGGTATATTATAGGGAAAGAAAAGCCAGTATGATGCGGCAGACAAAGATCAGTATTTTATGCAATGTGAAAATTAATAAATTACAATAAACATATTAATGTTATCACGTGATTTACTAGTACAAACTCCCTAAATGCACGCTCTCGACTTTTCAGTCCCGAGGGTGTGCATTTAGGGAGAGTTGACTGTATTAACATTAGGGAGACACATGTGTTTACATATTTTCATTGAGTTAGGGTTATTCCCTTGTAGATATAAGACAGGGTTAGCATTGTAGAAGATAAGCGGACGCTAAGAAATCTCCGTGTTTCCAGTAGATTGTGTTCGCTGCACAAGAAAAAAGATAATCAATTGGGATACAACGATGGACACGAGAATTTTAAAGTTCTCGTGTTCACATCTAGAACCTGCATTAATATATGCTCTAACTTTTACAAGTTTTCTCGTAACGAGAATTGTTTAATTAACAAAGTAGTTGGACATCCAAATTATATATTTGAACATTAAGTTTCAGAAATTACGTGTACCATAGTTTTTAAACAATACTAATGTTTTTCTGGCAATTATAAAATCTAAATCGACAGAGTTGATAAACCTAAATTATACAGATAAAACCAATAATAAACTGATGGAAATGGGTGATAACGAGAAATTGGCAAATTAATTTTGTACTAAGGCTTCTATTATCCCTATGGGATTAGGCTAACTCTCTTGTGCACAAAGCATGACAAACAAATGTACAGTGGAACCAAGTATTCTCGACGTTGTGCTTACTAATTTTGATTCTCCCCAGGTCAAACGCTTATGTGAAGCTATATATGCTTTATCGTCGGTTTTACTGTCCATATCAAATTATAATCCTCCGATTACAATCGAAATCAAGGTTGATGCGAAAATCGGTTTAGATTTTTAGCCGTGATTATGATTAGTGATAGAGAGTCAGTTAAAATCGCTAAAAATATGACGACATTTGAATAGTACAGTATAGATTGAATAGACACATCTATGTTGACGTAATATCGCTTTCAGAATGAGAAATTAAACTGATAATCATTGGGTTTAATCAGGGGATTGAGATCGTTTCAAGAAGAAACCGATCGTTAACCGCGAACCACTCAATATGTCCGTCGGCCGTACGACACAGCATTTCTTGCTTACATGACATTGAACTGAAATTATTGAGTTTGGAAGTGATTGGGCAAAGCTCATTTCGTGATTTATCTTAACAACGCAACAACCAAGAATCCTACGCTCGTATTTTAACTGTAGCTCTTGTGTACGAAAAATTGATACATAATATTAAGTATGATTTTTTAGTACTTGTAACGATTTAATTACTACAAAAATCGATCTTCGATTTTTCTATGGGCACGTGATTAAGAAGTTTGGAGATCTGATACATAACCCCTGATGTCACAGTAATACGCAGTGAAACGGAGGCTACGGTTCCTCCGTTAAATCGAGAGATCCGCTAAATCGAGTTTTCACGATATACTAATACCGGATATCATAGCAAACCATGTAGTACCTCGTTATCTGCAATTTTATTGGCGATCTTCAATTAATATTTGTTTAGCTTAACTAAATTATGAAGGCCTTATGTCTGCTAATCGTACACCTGTTAAGCTTGGGTTATCATGTTTCATTTTGCATAATTCGCTTTGGAAAGTTAGCGTTCGATCTCGTGGTTTGATTTCGTTCATGTGAGACAAAGTTTTACATTTGATTGGATATCCGTATATTTTTGATAGAACTGGCATATAGTACTTTTTGGTTAGCATCCGTTATAGGCTTTATCGAGAGAATCCGGTATATCGAGACAATTTTTATTAGTGTTGGATTTGTTCCATGAAAAATCTCCGCACTAATACTAAGCGATATAGTACTGGTCTGTGTCACAATTTCCGAAAAAAGTTTTTAATATGATAATACTTTGGTACGACGATTGCTGATCTTCTTTGCTTCAATAATAAGTCGATCAGCAGAGTTAACCGTTTCCAATCTATTTGGTATTTCCGATAGTTCAATCACATCATAATAAGTATTATCGGTATATCGGCACTAAATCACATGGTATGGTAATGTAATTTATTAGCGAAAATTTTATTGGAGCAGTTCGTTCTTTTATCATACCTCATTTAATGTATTACCACGCGACTCTCAATAAAGTTGTTCCTGATGCGTTTATAGGCATCCTGATTTTTGTGTTTCGATAGCCAAAAAAATTTCATTTTCACCATTTAATGCCGGTTCCAACATCACATTATTATACATTATTATTCTCTCACGTTGTGTATAATTGATTTGCTTTTTTGTCTCTATACTAACTACTCATTCTGCATCCCCACAATCTTTCCCTACCCAAAATAAATTTTTCTACACTTATGCTTATACATACTACTCAACCCAGACAGATTTTCAATCATCCAAGTTTTGCAAGAGAACTTTTCTAAGATTAAATAAATTCGGGATTAGCAACTGAGGCAAAAAACCCCACATAAACACTACTGATTTACACTTACCGCCACGATTAATTGTTACGATATTCCCACCCCGCCTTTATATTTAATATTCTCTGAATTCGAATACAGTCAAACTTCCATATAGTAAATTCTTTGTATATTCACACCTCTTGGAGGTCCCAACATCTTAATAAACATAACGAATCTGCTCTCCATATAGTTACATTCTCCATATAGTCACCATTTTGTCAAAAATTTCATATGGTCCCGATGGTGCGACTATTATATAATAAGGGAGTGCGACTGTATATCTTTGTAACATATACATATCCGCGTATCAATGTCTAGCATCCCAGGGTTTTTTAATAGTGCGCGTCAGTAATTTTAGCTGCGCTTATTTTTATGATGTTTTTCGAATGTTGAAGTTTTTAATTTGCTTGCCTTTGTAACATTTATGATATATACGTGTAATCTGTGGA